CTTTATATTTGTCTTCTTATATAATATCACCGCTGCACTGGAATGTCTCCCATGTGCCTCTACGCACAAAATGACTGGACTATTTGAACTAGTTTGAAGGACACGTGACAAAGTGATATTTATATTATATGTTGCGTAACGCCCGAGTAGACTGATGAAAATGGTGAAAAATGGTGATGTTCGAGTATACAGCAAATGGGAGACATATCCCGAAATTCGATTTTGATTGACGTTTTTTCTTCACGTTTAAAACTGTAATTAAAAAAGAAATCCAAGTCCTTTCAAACTTTCACCAAGATTTGTTATTGTTTTCTAGGTTTAGACCATTCAACTCGTTGAATTACCAATTAAATTACTAATTTCACTGCATTATGCGAAGGTACAGATACGTTTGGGATGCACGAATAATTTATAAACACAATTACAAATTGCATTTTTTCGTACAGTAAGGTAAGCCTTCATTCCCGTGGGAGTATGGGCGTGTATTTTCGTGGAGTGTGCGTACGTGGAGTGTGCGTTTGTCGATAATGCGTGGGTGTGGAGTGTGCGTTTGTCGAAAGTTCGTGGGTGTGGAGTGTGCGTTTGTCGAAAGTTCGCGGGTGTGGAGTGATATTTGTGCTCGAGCGAGTGGCAGAGGGCGCACAATGCTGCTTAAACACAGAGCCATCCGTACAGTGCACCTGGGGAAAAACGAAACCCCCAAGCAAATGGTTATTTTCAATGATTTTCTAGGTTCATACCATTCAACCCGTTGGATTATCCATTAAATTACTATCCAGGTTTCACTATATTATGCGAGGGCCACTTATAACACTTACAAATTATAAATAGAACAATTTAAAATGGCAATCAAGCCTACATAAACGTAGGTCTAGTTTCCTGTGGACGTATGGGCGTATGTCGACGTGGATTGAACGTACGTGGAGTTTGTGTTTGTGGAATGAAGGTGGGTGTATGTGTGTTCAAGTGCGTAGCAGAGAACACACAAAGCTGCTCAAACGATCCTGGAATCTGAACGTTTCTCGGCATTATTTAGAAAAAATAGTACAAAGTCAAGTTTAACATGTTTAAGGTCACTCATATAGCTCGATTTTTTTCCTACAAAACAAACGCATGATGTAAACTCAGAGACTTTTTGCAATGTTTAGCGGCGCCAAATTGAATACAAACTTTCAGTATTAATTTTCTTAATACCTGTTAATTATTTTAACAATTACTTTGATAAATAAAACATAACCGGGTAAATGAACACTTGCCTAAACATTAAATGATATTTAAAGATGCTATTGGCGGAAACACCCAATCAACAACCGATGCAAAAACATTCAATATTAAATCAATTAATAATTAATCAATCTGGCATTAAACAATCAATCAGTCAACCAACCAATCAATCAATCAATCAATCAATCAATCACTTATTACGAAATAAAGTGAACAATCAATCTCTCCATACGCACATCAATACATTTTTGAGGCATGCAGTCAATCAAGCAACTATAGATTTGGCAAAATATTGCTGCAAAATATTAGAAGCCGGATCATAGGGCCGAAAAGGGACTCCGCTATACTTCCATTCGAGAGGCACCAACTTATACGTTTAAAATCTACTTAGATCTGATTTGTGGCAGTTTGTTCGACAGTCTGATTCTCTGCTTGCCCTATCTCTCTTGGAAATCTGGCAAATGGGAACGATAGCTGGCGCACTTTCGTTAAAGAAGCTATTTTAGACATTGACCAAACCAACAAAATTATTAGCAGTCAACAAATTTTTCTTTTTATTATTGAAAGGATAGATATATTTTTTCATCGAAAGGTTTTGGCTGTTAACAACCGTGAAAATCGATGTCTCAGAAATTGATGTGTGTATCTCTTTGTCTGCAACTAAGACGGGAAGCACAACAAAAAAAGCATTTAATTAAAGGTTACATCGGTTCTTTTGAATCACAGATCTGATTTATAGATGTTTTTGAAAATGAGAACTACAGATGGCGCTCTATCATAAACATATATTTTGGATATTGACAAGTCCAACACTGTCATTATAAATGAACTATATCTGACATACATTTGAACATTTTCCAAATGTTCGTGTAGAGTATTTTCCCCGGATTGCTTTGTTGGTTTTATATTCATGGGATGATAACACATCCATAGCGTATAGGTCATGGGACAATTTAATATGTGCCAATAGAAATCTAGCCATCTTATTGGTCAAAATTGCAGTCGTGATTTTAGCCATTCTCCCGTAAAGAGACGAACAATGCCAGTAATGGTTATAGTTCATGAGTGATATTCCGGGTACCAAGAAAATAGTTAAATTTTGCTGCGATCCCCATTCATGAGTAACATTCCAGAAAGATTCCGGGTACCAGGAAAATAGTTGCGATCCTCATTGGTTTACGTGTTAAAACTTAGTTTGTGCGCAGCGCGGCTACCATAAGGTTTTTGTGCGATTAATGTGGTCGCTACAAACACAGCGCAGATGACGGCCGATCTCGATTGTACGCCTAGATCTACATTTAATCTCCGATTTTTTAGTTTCTAAACTTTATTTTATGTCCAAAGAAGGTAAAAACATCTGACTCGAGACTCTTCCTAGATTTGAACTTCTTGGTGATGATCAATTACAAGACTTGATTAATTCTGCGGACAGCAAGAACACCAAAAGTTCCGTGACATTCTCTGTAAAAAAAAAATCGAAGACGAGATCTCTAGGTCTACCTGCAAGTTATTAACACAGACCTCGATAGCGCAAACAAACTTGATTACTATGATTGGTACGTCGCACATGTATTCTTTTTACGGTATATACCTAGGGGTGATCCCTTGAGCCTATAAAACAACTATTCATCTTATAGCAAATTAAAATATGCGAATTCTATCCAACCCTACTTGCAAGGATATTAAACACATGGCAACAAAGGGAATATCTTTACCAGAATACGTTTTTCATCAAACTTAATTAATTTATTGCAGTGAAACAAGTTTCTGTAATTCTTTATATACATGATATATAAATATAGGGTAATAATTTGATCTGCATCTCCTTCAACAGTTAAATACATGTACTAAGCATTTATTTCAAGGTGACTTTATATTTACATAATCAAGTGATGATGATAATAGAAGGTTCTAATACATCCATCATGATGTTACCTTTCAATCTGTTGCATCACGTATTAAGCATTAATGAAGCTTAATATTTTTCAAAATAATTTAAGAAATGCTTATCATCAGTGTAGCTTGCATAAACACCCTGCTTTATATTGAAGACTTTGTACATCGGGTGGTCAGACAACCTATTCTAAATAGATTTACTTGTACATGTATATACATTTATATAAAAATCCGACAACCCCCTCTATGACAAAAAAAATGGTCAGATTGATTTTATATTTGAGGAGGGGGGCTAATGTTCGGATACACCTATGTAATGCATACCTGCCAAAATAATGGAACACGCGACCTCTAAAAGGAAAGATCCTTTTTGTAATCAATAGTTACAAGGTTGTTTACCAAGCCGACGTTATGTTGTTTACAATTTATTCCCAAAATTAAAGACAACAAATGTTCACGCCGTAATTTGGAATGCCAATCATATCGTGTTTGATTTTTCATCAGGCGTGTCCTTGGTGGAGTACGAACATTTCGGCATTTTCATCATGGACGGTCGAACAGATTGACTCGAACTTCCTTGGACCAGATCGGTTTGTGAGTCAATGGAGCAACGCCGATCCACTGCTTGTTTGGACCTTGTTGGACCCTCGACACTCTCAATGTTCTTGCTCGAGGCAGCAGTCTCTGAAGCTTCCTACTTAATTTCAAGGTTGGTAGAAGCTTAAACTTCATATTTCGATTACCAAAATCAATTAAAACTTCATGAAAAATATCTTTTTCTTTGTATTTACAAACATCATGTTAGAACTTCCTTCATGCGAGAAACGGATGCTTTCTATCATCTTTCCTCGATGTTGTACGCTAAAAAAATCTCGTCAAAAATGGTAAAGTCAACCATAAGAGTAAACGATTTCACATCAAGTGTGTACCTGATCGATTTGGCCATTTTCATCATGAACGAACGAAAACATTGACTCCAACTTCTTGGACTAGGTCGGTTGGTGAGTCGATGGAACCGCTGAGGACACAACGCTGATTCGCTTTTACCCATGTAAACGCTTGACAGTTCAAGGTACCCAGGCATTGTTGTGCACATCGGATATGGCTTGTTCGACCTTCAACAGTTTCAATGTGCTTGCTCGAGGCAACATTCTTGTCGGTAAAACGAAGACAGAAGTTGCCTGAGGACTTCCGGGCAGGAGCAACTAGATATTTAAAAAACGTGAAAAAGAAATCAATTAAACAAATTGTAAATATTTTTTAGTGATTACTGATAGCAGGTACAGATATACACAGGTCCCGTGGAAAACACATTTGATATGTTTGAAGATATGTATAAAGCTCGATATTCGGGAGAAACCAATGAGTTCGAGATATCCCATTTTTACTTTCACACTTCAAAATAAAAGGGGGACGAAAGAAAAAGAAAAAGGGGGAAGAAAGAAAAAGAGAAAGGGGACAGATGTAAAATGATAATTTGTAAACTCTTACATTGATTGGATGAACGGGGAGGGGGGGGGGGAGGAGGGTAATAAATACTATACTAAAATGTTATCATAAGTCATTGATCATCTTGATGGTAGCCTGACTTATAGCCCACTTGTAGCTGCAATTGTTTATATTATATTTGTCAATATATTAGTGTGGAATTATATGATATCAAATATTCAAAACAAACAAAAAAGGTTTTTCGGAGAGTCAGCCCCTAATCACCGTTGTGGTTGTCGGGTTTTCAGTACCTGGTGTAGTGGAAGGCATTTCTGTTGTTGTTGTTGTTGACGTTGTAGTTGTTGCTTGGGTCGTTGTTGCTTGGGTAGTTGTTGCTTTGGTAGTTTGTGCTTGGGTAGTTGTTGCTTGGGCAGTTGTTGCTTGGGTAGTTGTTACTTGGGTAGTTGTTGCTTTGGTAGTTGGTGCTTTTGTAGTTGTTGCTTGGGTAGTTGTTGCTTTTGTAGTTGTTGCTTGGGTAGTTGTTGCTTGGGTAGTTACGTCACTACCTGTGTTGAGAAAAAATATGTTGAAATACGGTATGTAAATATTCATTTATTTATTCATTCATTTATTTATCTCTTTCAGCCTCTTTTTTAACACATGGACCCGCTTTTAATACCGAGTATAACTTTTCGAGGGGGCAATATCTGTACAATTGAAAAGCATAAAATCATTACAGGGTTTAACATGATAATATACAAAGAAAAATACCGGAAAATACAACATTAGCGTAATACAAATATAGATATCATTCTTGATTCAGAGATAATACAGCGAGTTGTTATTTTATTGTAACCACTGACGTAATTACGTTTGGCTGAGTTATGGGTATGCTTTTGTCCCTAATTTTTTTAAACTTCTTTCGTATTGTGAATTCAACTATCTTCGTACAAGTCAGACTTTATCAAACATTATTTGTTTATTATTGCTGTATTGCTTAACGAGTCCTTTAAAATAATGAGAAACCTAGAATGAAAAAAGTCATATAAATAGGCTTGATGATCTTTGACATAACTCATATTTTGGTATCACAATTAATATCCTTAACATGAGAACCCTAATAAGAAAAGTCATATAAATAGACCTGGTAGTTTTATCCATAAACATGTTAGTCATATTCAGGTGTCACAAACAATATTAACTACGGTGTTCTGAAGCTTTTACAGTTTTGTGATTTCTTTTTTTCCTGATAAAAAGGAGAATTGTTAGATAATGGATGACAAATTGTTACATGTAAATGCTTCCGAAAGCTGTATAATCTTTTTTTTCGAACCATGTTGGATTTATACCAGGTTTACTCCGTATGTATTCTATTTTATCTTGAATAAAAAAATTATATTAACACCTTCACTCCGGGAAATTCGATATGTTCACGCGTAATCTAAAGCAACTATCTTAAAGCTTAAAACTAGAGAGTCATTTCCGGTGTCATTTTCAAAGAAATGTGTGTACTTACCATATATTATGGTATGGTAGTCTAAGCATCTTTGCGTCTGGAATTTTTGAGCGCCTACATAAGCATAACCAGCTGAACCATCCCCAGCAGCAGCTGTACCATCCCTTGCGTAATTCAGCACAGTGAAGGCTCCGTTGGGATCAGATTGCGATATGGTGTATGTAAATGTTTGGCCTCCCGTGTAAAAGTAGGCACACATGGAGCCCTTTGCTGTTGAAGACGACGCTGTTTTCAAGTAGACATTATCACCAGGGGCAGTGCCAGTAACGTAAATTCCCGATTGAGAGGAGCACGGGACCACAATTGTAAAATAGTGGTTGAGATATATACCGAGGGTGTCGGCACCTGATATACGAAAGTAGCTGTTCATCAGGGTGTACTGTTCTTCAGGTGGTATGACGACCATTGATGCGGCCCCCTTTAGGATCTGCACTACTTGGATGGGTTTATCACTGGTAATACGTAGCATGGTGTTCGTGGTGACTTCTCGGCTTTCAGTCTGCCCCTGTCCAATGCTGACCAATGTACCATCGACGTTGATGGTCGTGTCGTCTCTGCCTGCAGTAATCTGGATGTAGTATCCCGTTGAGCCATCTTGAAACGGCGGTACGTTGAAGGTGGTTCCCCATTTGTCGTAAGGCAACAGATGCTCTATGGCATAATCACAAGATCCGCTGCTAATTTCTGGACTATATGCACAAGAGGACCCACTTAATACCGAAACAGTCTTGTTTGCCAGTATTCTCGACCCGGTAAAGTCGTTAGATGAGGTAGTGATAATCATCTGATACCAGGCCGGAATCTCCACTTCCAGGTCCGAAAAGGGACTAGAGTACGTTATGCCGTCATAAGTAAATGGACCATTCGGTGTCAGACGGATGAACGTTGTTTCACCGGTCGAAGAGATAACCACTTGTCCGAGACCTGGACCTGCTAGGACTGATGCAAAGTATTCCTGGCCTAGATATACGAGAGGAGTAACGGCGGTTGCCCCATATGTACCTTCCTGTAAAGGATAGAAGTAAAGGAAAACACACCTGTCAACAAAAAAACAGAACCGAGTGTTGTCACCTGCACGATGCTTGCAGGAGTGGACAGGGTCAAGCAGAAAAGCATGTGTTAAATCATCAGGTTTCCGACAAGGCTAAGTTTTGCCCAGATGTTTTAACCTAAAATGTATCCTACACCTAATCCACCTACTATTTCGTCCTTCTGACGTTTACCGTGTCAGTCAAAAAAAAAGTTTACACTCCGCAAATCGTCATTTATTTTAAGAGTCAGCTATGAACGAAAGATTATCCCACATGTTTTGAAAGAGTGTCATATCCCAAATCGTTTGGTGTCCTTTTTGTGTGATAGGTATTCACGCTTGGATGAACAGCAGGCATTGTTTGCGAGAGTGCAAAAATCGACTTACCCAAAAGTACTAAAGTGAGAGAATGAATTGAATGTATTTAAAAATAGATGCATTGCATATGCTTTTTGCAGAAGCAAAGTCACACACAGACACACACTGGCACAATGTTCTTGGATATGTGTGGCGTGATTAATGTTGTTAGGGATGTTATTTGGATCTGCGAAGACCGAATTAATACCCAAATCCCAATTGTTTTATTCAAACATCACATAAGCATTACCTTGGTGCAAGTCGATTTTTGCACTCTCTTAAACAATGTCTCCTGTTCATCCAAGCGTGAACACATACCACACACAAATGATACCAAATGATTTGGGATAAAACACTCTTTCATAAGATGTATAATATTTTACTTTTTATAGATGATTTTAAACATAATTAGCACGTTTCTAGGTGTAAACTTTTTTTTGACTCACACTGTACAGGCTCACCTTGAATTCGGGCAGAGGATACATAGAACTCGATGCCGTTCCATTTTGTTATACTCCACGTATCATAATGCCAAGAAATACTTCAACTTGTCCAGCTCTATTTATACTTACATTTGTGTTAGATCCAAATAGGTACACGATAAGGTTGTAGTCAGGGAGGACACGTAATGTCCCGTCGTGTAAACCCGTGTCCCTGGTAACCGACGACTCTGCTGTATATTCTATTTTGGCATGCGATGGCATTCCACTTGTGGAAAACTGTCCAGACTCAGATCTGGCCGGTCGAGAAGCGTAGTAATAAGTACCCCCCGAGTTGGAAGTCTGAATAAAGTTCCCGTAATCTCCGAGGTACGAACTGTACTGGCCGCTCACCGGGAGACCGAAAACAAATTCGGTACCGAATCGGGTAGAATCTGCATGATCTCCGACTGTTGGGATAAATGCAATGGATTTAAACTTTAAACTTTATTTCAGTCTTTTTTCTTGAACAAAGTCAACAGGATGGTTTAAATCATGAAGACTTTGTTATATGACACATACGAAAGTTATTAGTGACTGTTTTAATGACTTTGGTTCAGGCATCTTCCTCATACGTCTACTGGTAACCAACTTTTACTTGCTGAGGGAGTCTACCAGGATGGTTCAAATCATTAGGATTTTGTCTTTGGCGCATCCTAAGCAGACACTTTTTTTTTGTTTTTTGGTCTCAAAATTTCAAAATTTGACATTTTTTTTCGTTGGGGGGGGGGGGGGGTAAGGTCACCTTATTTAGGTTAGCCGTGGGTATAATTTTTTTATTTTTTTTTTATTTTATAATTTAAAAAAATATTTAAAAAAAAGCCAAAGGGGGGGGGGGGGTTTTCGGTTTTTTTAGGGGGGTTTACATACATTAAAATTCCAAAGGGGGGGGGGTTTTGAACCCCAAACCCCCCCCCCCCCCCCCCCCTGCGTACGCCCCTGGCGTCTCTTATCTTTCACCTCGTGCAAAATCTTGTACCATTGCACTCATGACCATTCACTATTTGTATATTACCAAGTCCCTGTGGAGCGGACTTGCAGCCCTCGGACCTCTGGTTGCCAATACAAGCATCCACTTACTTTCTTAGCAGTCAGATACGTACAAACCACCAACCAGCCACAAACCACAAACTTGAGCTTGCCAGTGCATGTGTAAGGACGATGTCTGAACGAAACTATCAAAGATAAATAGCTTTAAGATGTGCCATAGAATGAAATTTGCAATTGTTGCCATTGTATTCTTAATCTGAAAAGGGTATAGATCTTTGGGATATATTGTACGGAATTGTATCCACATATGTCAAGTTTGGGGTGATATGCATAATTCGTAAACTCAAGATCTGAAATAAAGGGTACAAATTATTCAGGAATAACGTTTTCTTTTATTCAATTATTCAGCTACCAAATATTAGACGAATTCATTTTCACTTGCTGCCTGCCGTAGCAACAAACAGAGTCGACATAAGACTTAACTCCGTTTAGTTGGCAATCAACCATACATGAAGTCTTTCATCTTCTTTGTTAATACAATTATGAAAATGCAAGCATTACTTAAAACAAACATAATTTTGTTATTCCTGGCTCATTTTTCCTGATTGAGGTGTCATATGAAAGGGCAGAACGAACGAACTTCCTAGAAATATGGTTTTCTCTTTGGAATTCAGATACCGTTCGCCCAATGATTTGTTGGTACCCTTCTTCAAATTGTTTTTAATCACTCATGCGTGAAATATGCATCATATTTGTTTGTTTGTTTGTTTGTTTTATTCACCATGTAAAATAACTGTTTACAGATAATAGAATACAGTGGGTTACATTGATATATAATACATAGTAGGAACAATGCATAAACAAAAAGTGTTTGAAGCGCAACGTCCCTAAGTAACAAAGTTAATAATTATTAGGTAAAAATAGAACATGGCTTAAAATAAGACATTCGTTACAAAAATAAAACAAAATACAAAAATCATGCCCATTAACGTATTTGAATAACAAGCAAAAACAATGAAATACACATTACCTCTTAACCTCATAACTAGCACTATACAAAATGTATCTCAAAAGTTAACAGTTATATTTTAAGAGAAATAATTCCTTCATTTTCTTTTTAAATAACATAATGGTTTTACAAGCTCGTATTTCAGGTGACAAAGCGTTCCAAATGTCAGGACCTACATATCTAATTGATCTGTGGGCTAAGGCGCTCCATGGTGTAAACAAATGGAAATTAGAAGAATGTCTGGTTGGGTAGTTGTCAATGTCTCTATTTAGAGTAAAATCGTTACACAATGATAAAGGCAGTTTTTTTTATTAAGTCGGTACATGAACACTGCAATATGCATAAGATGAATATCAGTAACTTTCAGGGTTCTCAATTTGAAAAATAATGGGTCAGTATGATCAAAGTACCCAGAGCCACAACAAAGTCTCATGGCTCTGTTTTGCAATCTAAAGATACCATCAGTATTTAATATATTAATAGCCCATACAATGTTACAGTAAGAAATACGTGAATGAATGAAGGAATTGTAAATAATGAACAAAATACTAAGTGGAACAAAAGGCTTTAACTTGTACATAACACCAATATAACAAGACAAAACTCGAGAAAGATCACGTACGTGTTCATGCCAAGACAGGCACTCATCAATATAAATGCCTAGGAATTTTGTGTTTTTCTTTTGTTGAATGGAGATGCTATCTATCTTTAATGAAACATTATTTTCTTCAGTATGAGCACGAGTTTTAAAGTGGATGAAGTTAGTTTTACCCAAATTCAACGATAATTTATTGCATTTAAACCAGTTAGATAATTTTGGAAATTCAGTATTTAGTGTTTGAACAAGACTCTCTAGGTTGGAATTAGAGCAAAAAATATTAGCGTCATCATCAAATAATATATATTGTAGTAAGGAAGAGACATTAGAAATATCATTAACATAAATCTAAAAAGGAGCGGACCTAAAATAGAGCCCTGGGGCACACCATACCTAACTGATGACATGGTCGATTTGGCATTATTAAATATTGTATATGTGTATAAATACGAAACCAATTTAAGGTATACCACGTATCCCGTAATGGTAGAGCTTGTGTAGAAGTATGTCATGATCGAGGGTATCAAATGCCTTACTTAAATCCATGAAAACCCCTATAACATGCTCGTGTTTGGCTAAGGAGGATGATACCTTATCATATAATTTAATAATAGCAAATTCCGTTGAATGAAATTTCCTGAATCCATACTGATCTTTATTAAGTAAACTGTTGTCGGTCAAAAATGTATATAGTCTATCATAAACGAGTCGTTCTAATATTTTAGTTGCATCAAATGAAAGAGGAGAACCTAAGCTATTTACACATAATATATGTCATTTATTATTTATAAATGTGACGCACTGTATTAAGGTTATTGACATTACTAGTAATATGTCAGCTTCATTTAACAACTTGAAAACATGAAAAATATCATGGTTTTGAGGTTTTGTTTTGATGATAAATCCAGTATAGTTGGTCCCAAAAGAAAACAAGTTTACCTATGACTTAAATATGATACGTAACAATGGTAACCATTAAAAAAAAAAAACGATTAAAATACATGCCAATGTATGGACCTATTACCCAGTATCCGGTTTAAAGTTAAAGACCGTCAATACTACTGGGCCAGAAGGGATTAGACCACACAGCGAGGTCACTGACAGGTGGCTATCTCATTATTAAACTCAGCTCTCAACTAACATAAGAAAAAGAGGATCATGGGGACCAACAGGCACCGATTGGGAAAGTTTTGTATGTAGAGGGAGCAAGTAGCTACAAGTAGAACAGTTGGGCTTTAAGATACCAATAGGCGGACAGGGAAAGACAATTTGACTATTTTTGTGTCATTCAGTCCTATACCGCAAGTTCACAAATTTGTCAGCGTTCCTAGTGTTTAAACCGTGTGTTCTACTCGGGGGAAACAAGTGTCTCTGACACGTCAGTCTCACTAATGAGGCCGACATTAGATTGACGACAGACCGAACCAAAATATCACAAAACACTACTTGAGGATTTCCGATCGGTTTGGATCGGTTTGGAATTATTAACATTATTAACAGTGCCATTTGTATGACTGAGTGGTGGGAGGTAATTCCTTTGCCTCTCAGTAACGTGTGTCTTGTGTGATTCGGGCCTGTGATAATCCGAGAAGCGCTGTGTTCGAACATTTGATTATAGAAGTGCAAATATGATCTACCACATTTGTGTAGCAGAAATGTTTTCTCCCCAACCCGTGTCATCTTCTGAATGTCAATCTACTGTACATATATCTACAATTGTCTAGAGAACTGGTTTGTTTGCCAATTTCCTTCCGGCCCTAAATGAGCACCCATGTGCTAAGTCGAGGTGGATTTTTTTTCTTTCGTGTTTGTACGAGCAACCAAAAATTTAAAAAAATGGATAACAAATCTGCATGGGATTTCAAGAACAAAAATCATTGGAAATATAGCAACACAGAGCAGATTTAAAGTTGAGCAAAGTAGATGAGAACAAAAATGAGTTATCCTCTAGTGACTAGTCTACATAATTGCATGTTGCACCCGCGATGTTATTTCGATTGCGTCATTATATACTTTCGCCATACCTAACATAATTATGAGGGTAGTAAGCATGTGTGTCAGTGATACAACACAATATTTGCACTGTTCGTTTTACGTTCCCCTTTTTTGTTGCGCTATCACTCGCACATGGCGCGTCTAAGACCACGCCAGTCGCCAACGCAGTCCTGCGTCAGCAAATAACGCCTCGTGTGCAACGGGCTTGTCTGCACTAGTTTGGCCAGGAGGGATTAGACCTTCCTGCAAGGTCACTGTCAGGTGGTTATCTCATCAAAGCAGCTCTCAATTAACATAAGAAAAAGGGGAACACGGGGGACCAGTGGTCACCGATTAGGCATAGTTTGCTATATAGAGGGCGCAAATAGTTATGAGTAGTACAGTGGCGCTTTAAAGCCTAAGCAACGATTATGCAAGGACTTACCTGTACATGTCTGTGCTCTTGCAACACTAAGTAGCCGCAGAAGAAAAATCAGCAGAAGGGAGAAAATTGCCTGAGACATATTTCGTGCCATGCCTTGGCGGCTTAATGAAGTAGAAAAACAATTCTGGAATAAAGGAAAAGAAATATGATGAAATTATTTTTTCTAAATTAAGGATTGTTGTACAGTCTGTTAAAATTGTAAAAGTCTGTAAACTTTCGTTATGAGTTATTTGATATTGAATTAGCGATAAACAGAAAACAAGCTCTTCTTTTGAATGAAATACAACACGATAAATTTAATTTGCTATTTCTATTAGTTCCTAAACCCCATCCTCGGTATTAATATTGGCGTATCGGCTTCAATAAGATCACGTTGAATGTAGAAACCTGTGCATTCAGATGAGAAAGAAAAAAAAAAGTTACAATAATCTATACTTGTATATGTTTCAAATTTGCCTTGTTCATATGTCATGGTTGTTAGCATGTCTGCCTACGTTGAATCAGATAATAAAACTCCCAAATTCGTTAAGAAGGCGATTTGTTTTCATTATTACTGCGCTTGTAACCAATATGTGTTATCATTCTAAAATTCCACAATGGACGTAAGTCAATTAAACGTATTGCCATATATCACTTTTTATTGCCACGGTGATTGCATTGACCTTATAAACACAGAGGTTTCATAAATAAATCAATCGTATTCTTTTATTTTAATTGCCGCATCATGAAGAGCTCTCGGTGAGATGATTACAGGGATTTATTCTTAAGCGTTTATGCCTACGAAATGCAGTGGCGTTTTTAAATTGAAAATTAATCATATCTTCATTTGTTCATTTCGGCTCCATGATGCAGATACTCTGACCATGGACCTAGGTCCATGCTCTGACAGGCATAATAACTTCGACCGCAGTCGGCATAGAAATAAATTTTCCCTCATCAACCACAAAGGCAGTGACATAGCTACGTATCGGGGGAACGTGCCCCCTCAAGTGACGGGTGAATTGAAAAGAAAAAAAAAGACGATAAAACAGAGAAGGGGGCGAAAGAATGGGAATGGGACAAAAAATGGGAAGACGCCTAAACCATCTCCCGCACCCTCCCCTTATCTCTGGGGGTGTTTCACAAAGACTAAGATTGACTTTAAGTTGGACTTAACTATGGCAGGATGTCCATGCCACTGTTTGCTCTCACCATTATGATCTTTAGATAATATTTTTTCCTTCGATAATTAATTATCAAAATGTTTTAATTCTGTAGATTTGTGACCATGATTTGTACTTCCCTTGAAAGACCATTGTCAGTAAATGGTGAGAACAGTGGCATGTAAAGCCTGTCACAGTTAACTCCAACTTAAAGTCGGTCTAAGTCTTTGTGAAACACCCCTGGACTTGTAAATTATAATTTTATTCGCTACCCCTCCCCTTATTTTTCAGTGCCCCTTTCATGGGCAGAATCACACTACGCCATTTTTAAAAGGTCCTCTGGCCTCAAAGTGAGATTAAGGTCTAATCAGTTTGGCGTAGGCATTGAATTATTGATCATTACGGATAAAAAAAAAAAATGATAAAACATGATCAAGGGGTATTTTGAACGCTTACTATGGAAGCTGCACCATGCACTTATTAAAGCGGTGTACCGAAACAGAATAGATTAATTGTGATTGAAATGTATCATTAGATGTGGTGGGGAAAACAAAGCCCAATACGCCTATCAGGGTTATTCCCAGACTTAATATAATTACATACAAATTGTATTCATCGTGCTTCATTAAAATAGAAAAATATTGAACAGTAACAAAATAACTCACAAAAAAAATAGGATGAATTGGAAATACATGAACATTATAATTATTCTAATACTACTACTACATGCACTTATTAAAGCGGTGTACCGAAGCAGAATATATTAATTGTGATTGAAATGTATTATTAGATGATGTGGCTATGTATTAGTTATTTCCTATCATCCGTGCGAAATAAATATAACACAGATTCAATCGAAACATGTACTACTCATAATGAGGTGGGAATAACAAAGGCTAACAAGCCTATCAAGGTAATTCCCAGACTAAATTAAACTACATAAAAAGTTAATCGTCGTGCTTAATTAAAATGTAAAAAATAAAGGACAATCCTACTCATAATGAGGTGGGAATAACGAAGGCCAACAGGTCTATCAAGGTTATTCGCAGACTAAATATAATTACATAAAAGTTAATTATCATGCTTAATTAAAATTAAAAAAATAAAGGACGATTATTTAAAAAAAATATAAAGAACTAGTACTTCTAATGATAATGATAAAAAAATAATACATAATAATAATAATAATAATAATAATGATAATTATAATAAATATGTTAATATTGATTATGTTAATGGTAGTATTAATAATAATAATAATAATAATAATAATGATAACAATTATAATAATAATAGTAATGATAATATTAACAATAATAACAATAACAGTATAACTTATTTTGGCCTGGATTGACGTCTGGCGCCAGAACATGCTTTGTCTATATTTGTTTAATTTGTGAGCGACCACAGAGCAATATACAGTTCATTAGAGCGACATTGTAACTTCGTGAGAAAATAAATAAACAAAGATGATGAAAGGTTGTGCTTAATTTTGTTAATAAAAATGATACCGATCTCCGTTTTTGTTCATGAAATATGTTTGGTATTTTTAATAACAAATAATAATTGAGTTTAATTTACTCAAGGTAGCCATATCAGAATCACATACTGCTTTCCTTCGCTGAGGGCCCTGCCATTAGTATTACCCCCAGTTTCCCAAAATACACCGGGGTAGAGAGTGGCATATGTGGAGTAATGTCTTGCCAAATGACCTTTCACGCTTAGTTCTGTCCTTATTCTCTCTCATTTCCGACCATTCCCCTTTCTCTAACATTCCCCTCCTGCCATTTCCCTCTCGTTTAACTCTGACCTACTTTAAACCCCCAATGTGGGCTGCCGATATTTGGATGTTTTCCCTCACATATACGTTGGTATCGAGCCACTTTTATATCGATCCGTGACGAACTACTTCAATCAATCAATTAATAGTAACATTGACGTAGTAATATATTGACTGCTTACTTGATGAAGATGTTATTTTCAGTTGTATTGATGTGGGGGCAAGCCATAAAATGAAAAATATATAATTACTTGTAATCAACCAGCCATACCGTTATGAATGGTCATGGACACATACATTGAACTGCACTACATTATTACTATTATATTATGGAATGTGAGAACACTGTATCAGAGCGGAAAGCTGGAAAATGTTAAACAAGAGATGATGAGGCTAAATGTCAACATATTGGGACTAAATAAAACAAGATGGCTGAATAACGGCGAGTTTGTGATAGATGAGTACAGATTGATTTATGCAGGAGGTGAAAAGCATGAAAGAGGTGTGGGGTTACTGCTGGATCCAGATATCTCAAAGAGTGTGTTGGGACACTGGTGTGTAAGTGATAGGGTGCTCCTAGTGAAATTACAGGGACACCCTTTTAACATCTCAATCATAGTGATTTATGCACCAACGGCAGATAGTGCTGACGAAGTTATTGACACCTTTTACGATTCCTTAGATAAAGCTAAATCTCAGTGCAAATCGAATGACATTGTCATTGTCCTGGGAGACCTGAACGCTAAAGTCGGTCAAGGTACAGAGGGCAAAGCAGTAGGTCCGCATGAAATTGGTGAAAGGAATGAACGAGGGGACAGATGGGTTCAGAGGTGTGAGGGGGGAACATGGTCACTAATACTTGGTTCAACGAACACCCTAGACGAGTGTACACTTGGAAGAGTCCTGGCGACATCGTCAGAAACCAGATAAACTATATTGCCATAAATAGTAGATTTAAAAGAGCAGTGAAACAATCAAAAATGTATCCAGGGGCTGACTGCGGGAGTGATCATGTGCCGGTGATATGTACACTTCAGTGCAAATTAAAGAAACTCAAGAGACCAAAAGTTGTGAAAATATTGGATTTTAAACAGTTGAGTAAACAAAACATACGTCAAGAATTTACTGTACAAGTAAAGAATAGGTTTGAGTTGCTCATGGATGAAGGTGAAGAAAACACGTGGGAGACAATGAGAAATATTCTGGTAGAAACAACGGAAGAGTATATTCAATTCAATTCAATTCAATTTATTTTGCCAAGCAATAAAAAACATACAGGGTAAAACAAAAGCAATATACAAAGTTTCACACAATTACAATTACTAACATAGATAAACACAGAAATACACAGAATCAATTACAAACATGAATAATACAAAGGAAATTGCTAATGCTGGTAGCAGCCAGAAAGGAGGTGGTGCTTGTATGCGGCTGACCAATTAATCAAATATAAAAAATTAAGCTGTAATAAAAAGTGAAACAAACAACAATTACATGTAAAATATAATGAATTTAACAACCGTTAAAATCTGTAGCTAATATCAATATACGTCCATCAAGTACTTTTTAGGTGGTCTGTCGATGACAGATCACCTATTGATTTCGTTAGAATTTTCTTTCTTTATTCTTTATTCTTTATTCTTTATTTATTAGGTGGTCTGTCGATGACAGATCACCTATTGATTTCGTTAGAATTTTCTTTCTTTATTCTTTATTCTTTATTCTTTATTTATTTTTATTTATTCCGTACACTTTTTTTGTGTATACGTTTACTCGAACTCGACCTGGTCAATTTCCTTCAAATTTCTGCTAGTCATCAGGCCCTATGATATGAAGTTCCCGAAACCTTTTTCAAGTTCATGGGGTCATCGTGACGTCATCCAGGCGCCATTTTGTAAAAATCAGGTCAGTATCATATCTCGATAACGAGTCATCAAAAATCAACCATATTTGGTATACATCAACTTCAGGTCAAAGGTCAACGAAAAATGTCAAAAAAATTTGCGCGCGCACCTCGACGCGCACGTACGCGCGCATTAAAATTTTAAAATGGTCAAATTCGTTCCAAATTAATTTTGCATACGTTTCAGGCCATTTTAAGCATTTTGCAAAAAAACGCGCGCACGGACATGCGCGCGCGTTTTCGCGCATAATTGCATCTTCCAACATAGAATCGCCAAATTTTTTCTGTCATCATATTTG